TTTTTTTTTTTTTTTTTTTTTTTAACTAGGCTTAGATGTAATGAAATGGTAAATTGGATAAGTTTATGAAACATATGAACTTCAGAATTTATTTTAAATCCATTCAGTGTGAATTTATCAATTTCCTTTCACCTTGGCTGCTGGTCATTTTGAGTTCTCTCTTAATGTACTCGTCCCCAAGTGTCGTTTGGTGCCTCTTGTTCACCATGTGGCAGCTTTCTGTCTGTGAAAGGGAGTACGTATTAGAAGGCCTGTATTTGTTTTTGTGGGTGTGTTCAGGGATTTTTTGAGCCTTGGTGTGGGGGTGTGGTGAATGACAGCTTTTGCATTCATAGTGGGCACTTGGGCTCTAAGAATCGTGTAGGTGCATCTGTGTTGATTTGGAAATTGTTGGTTGTATGTTGGTTTTTTTCCCCTAACTTACGTGGTACTGAGTGTGGTGTGATCCCGTTATGGAGATCCATTTAAAATGATACACAAATGTTTATCTCCAATGCAAAGAAATAGAAGGATGCTAGCTAAGCTGTAGACGGTGGATGGTTTTTCCTCTAGGGAATGAGATTTGGCAGAAGAAAGTAATTTAATTTTTCACATTATGTACTTATGTGTTTGGAATTTTTAATTAGTGTATGTTTTGCAGGTTTTAAGAATGGCTAAGGAAGCTATATATTTCAAAAATAATGATTACTTTTATTTTGAAATAGTAAGAAAAGAACTGGTTTGTTTTTTAGGGTGAAATAGTGGTGAAGAATAATAATCGGACCGAATCTGTAACTGATAATACTGCTACCAGTCCCTCTTCATGTACGAGAGGTAAGAGTGGCTACCAAATATTATTTTAAAATATAAAAATTGTCTATTGTTGTTGTCTATTTTCTTAGTTTATTTTCAGTCTAGTGCAACTGAAATGTTTTTGTTTTAAAGCCTTCTTTAAGGCAGCTGATGGGTTGATAAACTGGCATCATTGTTAGAAGACTGAAGTAAGCAAACGAGATCCCACATCCATGCACAAGGAGTGTAAACTACATACAAGTAAAACATAATAAATGAAATGTTTGTTTGGTTAAGTGAGACATTTTATGAACTCAGAAATGATTACTTTTTTAAGCATTACCTATGTCAGTGGTTCTCATAGTTTTTGGTCTCAGGACCTCCTTAATACCCTTTAAAAGAACCCCAAAGAATTTCTGTTTATTTGGATAACTGTCAATATTTGTAATATCTGAAATTAAAACTGAGAGATAGAAAATACTTATTAATTCACTTTAAAAGTAACAATAAACCCATTACAGGTTAACATAGCACATTTTAATTAAAAAAAAAATAATTATTTTCCAAAGTTAAAAAACTAGTCAGGAGAGGAGATCAGCCTTTATGTTTTAGCAGCTCTTTAACGTCTGGCTCAGGAGATCTGCTTCGGCATTCACCTGTTTCACTGTTCTCTGTCGTACAGCCTCTGGAAAACCCCACTGTACTACGCTCATGGGAGAGTGAGAGTGGGGAAGGCAGATGGCACATTCCTGTTACCAGGAAAACAGTTTTGACTGTGGACCCCTGAAAGGGTCCTAGGAGTCTCAGAACTTTGAGAACTGCTGGTCTGTCCTGACCTGGCCCAGAAGTGAGATATTCAGAGAGTTCAGTAGATTCTGCTTTTGAAGTTTTTGTGAGTAGCTTGTCCTAACAGAAGACCTTTTTACAAAATTATTCTAGATTTATTCACAGGTGTGTTTTCTATTGCGTTAGCATGTTTGGTACATATGTGGTTCAATAAAAGACCTTCACTTTAGCAACTGCTGTGAAGATGCATAGCTCTGTGGTGACAAAACAGCCTGTCTTCCCACTGTGGGGTAGCCACAGGCTGCTGACATTACCTTCCCGTGTGCTGATGGATGTCCTTTTGTTTTGTCTATATATAGTTTCATGGGCACCTGCGGAGTAGTGTTGCCATACTTATGCCTATGTTCTAGAAAGAAATAAATTACCAGTTATTGCGATAGCTGAAGTTTAGTGATCTTTGATTTCTGATGTTAAAGGTACACATCAAGGTTAGTAGGGCCACAGTTTGATCTTTAGCTCATTATTTCTGTGTGTTTGCCACGTGGATGTATTTGTGGATTATTGTTTTTTAATGGAAACTTTTTTACCACCTGCACCTCTAAGTTAAAAGAACAGTTCCTAGGAAAGTCAGTTCCCCTTACAAGTTAATTCAGCATGCATGTTCCAAGAAGAAAAACAAATTTAGTGGATACTGTAGTTTTCAAGAGAATGTTCTTGACAACACCTTAATTTAACTATGCTCTTGAGTACTTCATGTAATGCATGCTTGGAATTTCTAAGGAATTTCTTTTTTACTGTTGGGATTGTTCAACAATTTTGGTTATCTTTGAGCAGAATTATCTTGGACACCAATGGGTTATGTTGTTCGGCAGACATTATCTACAGAACTGTCACCAGCCCCTAAAAATGTTACTTCCATGATAAACCTAAAGATGGTTGCTTCATCAGCAGATCCTAAAAATGGTAGTATGTCATCTTCTGAAGTTTTATCTTCGGAGCCTTCGTACAAAGAGAAACATGTTGTCCATCCTACTAAAAAGGTATGTGTCACAGTTTGATTATGTTGCTCTTCTGTACCACTGGATTGTCTTTCTTTTTTTCTCAAATCCTAACTGAAAGTGTTTCATTCGGTACTGTAGGCACTAATCTGAGTTGGTTGTATTCAGTACTTGAATTGAATACAGTCTAGGGACACAAGTGGTAGCTTTTATACACAGGTAAGGATGTGCATGTTAGACCTATGGTCTTAAAATATCTGTGGACCATTTTGAATTCTTTACAAGAGAGAATGCTGGCAGTAGCTTATGCTCTGGTATGTAAAATACTGCAGTCTTTTGTCTGTTGATTTTACATTGCTTTTACCTACCAGGTACTGGTAGCAAGATAATTGTGTGCCACATTTTGCGATCATCATGTATGTTAATTGATTCTTGGTTAATTGCAGCTACTTACTATAAGATAGCATTTCAGAATCCATTTTTTCCTTTCAATTCAAATAATTTTAAGTTGTTCTTTTTCAATCCCTAGATTTCTTTCTTGAAGAGCCTTTTTTACTGGGCTAGATTTTGGTTTTGATTTTCATTGTGTACTGATAACATTATTTTAAGTTGAAATATGGTCATATTTGTTTAGTGCTGGTTTCCTATCTTTTTGAGTGTTAGGATACTTTTTGATATCCAAAGTGTCTTAGACCATCCCACACAAACAGGAGCTGTGTGTTTATGCTTGGTTGATTGAGGAATCTTTGCTGGTAACAATTAATGGTGAAGTCAAACCTGTGTGCCTGTTCCCTACAGCTTTATGCACATACTTGTGAAACACAGGAGGCGGCTGTGAGGCCCCTCCAAGTACACATGGAGACTGGCCAGCTCCAAGGCCCTGCTGGTGTCGGGGTGCAGGCTGCACAGTAGGCCACCAAGTCACCATCTAAATGAGCTTTTAACACTCTTAAGAGTTAACAGATTTTGTTTTATTTTCCCAGCATCTTTTTAAAAATTATTTTTTAATTAGAGGTATAAGTAAAGTTTATTTTTGAGAAGTCCCAAAATAAAGATGAGAAAATGAGGATCTCCTGTAATCCTGTGACCCAGATGGCTTTGCATTGTGGTCATAATGTTGTTTTCTTTTCCCCCTCTAAAACTTGTTATTGTGAATTTTTATTACTGAAATAGCACCTGTAATATTACAAGGATCTAATTATGGAAAAGGTCCTTTTCCCATAGCCCTTTGGTCCCCACCCCTCTAGGAGCCTCCATTAACAACCTGCTGTCTGTTCTACCTCAGGGCTCCTGAAAACATAAATAAATAAAGATGTTTATTTTGTTTTAAGTTTTTTTTTTTTTTAAACAGAAATGGGGGGACTTCTCTGGAGATCCAATGATTAAGACTTTGCCTTCCAGTGTAGGGGGTGCAGATTCGATCCCTGGTTGGGTAGCTGAGATTCCACATGTCTTGCGGCCAAAAACCAAAAAAACCCCATAAAACAGAAGCAATATTGTAACAAATTCAATAAAGACTTTAAAAATGGTCCTAAAAACCCATGATTTTTGCTTTTGTTTGTTTGTTTGTTCTAGTCCAGAGCATCACAAGGTGACGATCCTGAGCAACATGAAGCCTCAAGGAAGAATAAGAAAAAGAAAGAAAAGTCTAAATCAAAATATGAAGTCCTGACAGTTCAAGAGCCACCAAGGATTGAAGTATATTTACATTTATTACTCACCTTGTTTGATATAATAAATGGGTCTTCCTTAATAGAAATATGGGTTCATACTGGTTGCTGAAGTAAAAATTCTCCAACATTTTCTTTAATAATTGTAGTGCTAAAGAAAATAGTTGTCACCCATTTTCTTCAGTTCTTCATTTTGGTGTCCCCAGCGCAGTGCCCATCTCATGGCAGGTTCTCAGTAAACGAATGAATGGCTTAGAGAAAAAACTACTTGTATTGAAATTTAATGGTGTGTATGCCCTACTACTAATATATACCCCTCAGTATCTTCTGGTCTGTTTTTTTCTTTGCTTTGGCATGCTGGCTTCTGCAGGGCCTCCTTTTCTATCTAGATGTTTTGGTATAATGTGCTCCACTATTGAGAGAAACTTAGAATACTGTAGATCTGTCGTGGACCCTGGTCAAGAAGAGAATATCATGAACTTCCGAAAGTGCTCTTTAAATTGTTGTCCAGTGATACTCCAAGAATGTCTCTGTTCTCCAAGGAGCCATCCTGGATCCTGATTATGTTTCTCATGGGTCTGCAGTACCAGACTCAGCAGCCTGGCTCCTGGTGCTGGCAGAAGGGTCTCTAAGCAGTGCTCCCAGGCAGCCAGCTTAGGGTCAAGCCCGAGGTGTTCCCATAAACTCCAGGGGCTCCTGGGGCTTTTTGAACATTCCCTTGAGAGTAATGGGGTTGCATGTTTGAAAACCTATGACTGCGGTAGAGCATTACTGTTTGGGCCAACAAATAACTCATTATTTCTGCCCACATTTTTCACATAATTTCTCCAGGGTCCCTAAAATGTTGACAGAAGCACATAAGACATTTTAAAATGATTTAAACATTGTTTAGAGACCTGTTCCTTTATTTCTTTTTTCTAGTCTAGGATCAGCACATGTGACAAGATGCTTACATCTCCTGAGTCCAGATTGATGGTTTCCCTAAAGAAAAGCATAGTTGAAGGATGGGTGCTTGAACACTCTTGTGCCAGGGTGCTTGGGGCAGTTCGTAGACTGCTTGGTGCACCCACATCCTTGAGGCCCCTGCTCTCTCTCTCTGGAGCAGGGAGATTCAGACTGCGGTCCTTAACTTTGTTCTAAGAGTGAAATAAAGCCGAAGCACTTACATTAGTTTTTTGTTTTTGTTTTGACTTTTATAACACCTTTGAGCACTTTTATAAGGATATTTTTATGGAAAGAAAATAAGAGCAAGGAAAAGGTTGTAGTTGGGCTTATTTTATAATTGTGATTTGCGAACAGCTAAAGGGTGTGTGGTTTACTTAGGATGCCGAGGAGTTTCCCAATCTGGCAGTTGCATCTGAAAGAAGAGACAGAGTAGAGTCACCGAAATTTCAGTCTAAACAGCAGCCACAGGTAATTTTTAGATTGAAACCACACTTGCTTTTGGCTTAACTTTTCTTGCTATACTAAACTGAGAAAAACTGCTTTCCAAACTTCTTTGTGTATGGGGACAGGTGGTTTTGTTTTGATTCATTCCTTCATTGGGGAACCACAGCCAGTATGTTGAAACAAAGTTGCTCTTAAGCTAAAACTGCTTTATCACTTTTGAAATTAGACTATTGGTAACTGCCATTGCTGTATCAGAAAGGAGGGGAACACAAACTGTCTAACTTGGATTTAAAGAAAAAACTTTGACTTAGTTTATTCAGGAAACAGAAGAATCTCTTTGTGAGGCAGTAATATCTGACAGAAGGAAAAAAGAGAGCCACCAGCATTTCACTCAGGTAGTCAGGATCAGAGGAAGAGATGATTCTTCTCTTGCCTCAGCCCCACTGTAGATTCAGGAATGAACTTGTAGTTCATAATCTAGATAGAGAACTTGCATACTTTGGGCATGTTCATTGTCATTTTGCCTTTCAAAGTGGGGTGATTGTTTTCACATTTGTGAAAAGTAAAATTCTAAACCCATGTATCTTTGCATTCCTATGTTGTAATTTGGTTATCTTCCGCCCCTGCAGAGGTCTCTGTGGCTGCCTGTGCTGTGCTTAGCACTCACCCATTGCCATGAGCCCTCACCCACCGTGAATTTGGCATCAGGGAAGAGAACAGTGGCGTGGGGCAGGAGTGGAGGTGCTAAAGCACAAGAGACAACACGTCCGTACAGCCTTATACAGTCTCAAAACCCAAATCAGAATGATTTCAGAAATAACATTTGTTTAGAGTGTATCTGACTTTGTGCCTAAATATAATACTCACCTGCTGGGTGTGTTTTGGACTTGTATAAGTTTTTGGTCATGCCTCCATGGTTTCATGGCACTTGGTTGGCTCACTTAGGCAATTGGAGAGCGAATGGTGTTAATGAGGCAGTAGTACCAACCAGCTAGCCCCACACATAAACTTTCGTAGCCAAGGACTTTATACAAGTGTTGGTTCCTTATCTGTAGATGTATGCTGTTATTCACAATGGAGATGCAGACATTTAAGTGGTTTAATTAAACCAGTGTTATGAAAGGAGGAGGAGGAAATAAACAACCTTGGTGGTAATATTGGCAGATAATTTGGAATTGACTGGGGTTTTAATTGCTTTAATTTTTTTTAATTTTAAGATTTTTATAGTCCCTATATCTGTTTTATCTTATTAATTATATAATTTTTTTATCATAAAATGAAAAGCACAATTTGTAAATTATAGTAGTATAAATAAACTTCTGATTTTTGAACTTTTTAGAATAATTTTAAAAGTAGTGGAAAGAAGAGCCAAATTCCAGTACAGTTGGATTTGGGAGGAATGCTAACCGCATTGGAAAAGAAGCAGCACTCCCAGAATGCAAAGCAGTCCTCCAAACCAGTGGTGTTCTCAGGTAAAAGAGTCTTTTCATTTCAGACAAATGATTGAAGTCTTTTTCAGTAGACTATTTTGTGACTGTTTTTTCTTGTAATCAAAAGTTGTTTATATATGATCAAAATAATGTGGTGCTGGAATAAGGATAGATATAGACCAGTAGAATAGAATTGAGAATCCAGAAATAAACACACATATCTATGGCCAGTGAATTTCTAACAGGGTTGTTGAGTTCATTAAAAGGACAAAGAACAACCATTAGAAAAATGGTCTTGGGGCAGCTGGATTTCCACATGCTTAACAATGAAGTTGGACCCCCAGCCTCACACCATATACAAAAATTAACTCAAAATGGATCAACAACTTAAATATAAGAGCTAAAACTTGAAACTCTTAGAAGAAAACAGAGGTAAATCTTCATGACCTTGGATTAGGTGATGAATTTTTAGAAAGGACACCAAAAGCACAAGCAACAGAAGCAAAAATAGATAAATTGGATTTCATCAAAATTAAAACTTTTGTGTACCAAATGACATTATCAAAAAAATGAGAAGACAACTTATAGAATGGGAGAAAATATTTGAAAATCATATAAGGATTTAATATCCAAATATATAAGAACTCTTACATTCAGTAACACTCATTTAAAAAATGGGCAGAGCTCTTGGAAAGACATTTCTCCATAAGAAGGTATATGTACGGTCCATAACACGTGAAAAGATGCTCAACATCAGTAGTCATTAGAGAAATGCAACTTAAAACCACACTGAGGCAGTTCTTCAAACCTACTATGATAGCTCTAATCAGAAACATGGAAAATAACGTGTTTGTGGGGATTTGGAGAAATTGGAACCGTTGCTGATGGAAATGTTAAATGGTGCACTTACTTTGGAAAATGGTCCCATGGTTCTTCAGAATGCCAAATAGAGAGTTGTCATGTGACTTGGCAATTCCACTCCTCTGAATGTATCCAAAAGAATTAAAAACAGAGACTCAGACACTTGTACACCAGTGTTCATAGCAGCATTATTTGTAGTAGCCCAAAGATGGAAACACCCCCAAATGTATATCCACAGATGAATGGGTAAACAAAAGGTGGTACATACATACAATGGGAATATTCAGCCTTAAAAAAGAAGGAAATTCTGTCATAGAAAGTAGATTAGCGGTTACCAGGGGTTGAGGGGAGTGGGGAATGAGGAGTTATTGTTTAATGGGGATAGATTCTTATTTCGGGGCATGAAAAAGTTTTGGATATGGGTAGTGGTGATGTTTGCAACAACGTTGTGAACGTAATTGATGCCACTGAATTGTGAAGTGAAGAACAGTTAAAATAGTAGTTTTTATGTTATATGTATTTTATCACAAAATTTTTAGTTATTTAAGTATGATGATTTTAAGAAATAGGTCTTATTAAAAGGTGGGTTTTGGGGACTTCTCTGGTGGTCCAGTGGTAAAGAATCCACCTTCCAATGCAGGGGATGCAGGTTCAATCCCTGGTCAGGGAACTAGGTTCCCACGTGCCACAGGGCAGCTAAGCCCATACGTCAGAACTCCTGAGCTCAAGCATCTCAGCTAGAGAGCCCATGTGTCACTAACTACAGAGCCCACGCACCCTGGAGCCTGCGTGCCATAACTAGAGAAGAGAAAACCCGTGCACCACAACTATAGAAAACCCTGCACACCACAGCAAAAGATCCCATGTGCCGCAACTAAGACCCGATGCAGCCAAAAATAAATAGATAAACATTAAAAACAACAACAACAACAACAACAACATGGGTTTATGGGTTTTCCACTTGATGTGACGACTTGGTGTACCTAAAAGTCTTATGTAAGTGCCCCGTATAGGTTATAAAGCTTCACCAGATTGAAATGAATTACCTGCCTGTCCATGGGAACGCAGTGGGTGGCAGTGTTGGCTTGGTAGTGATGCAGTCATTCTCTCCTCTGAAACACCTCTTAGAGCCAAGATAGTTAAAATTGGCAATATGTCATACAGAGAAATAATGCACATTTGCCACCATAGTCTTTTATATATGTTGCCCTCTGAGGCAGTTTATTTTAAAAGTGAAAAATAGGTATCCAAGGAAATGGTGAAGAAGCTTACTTTTTTTGGTTTCTGAAGCATTTTAAAGCAATTTGTGGACATCATGTCATTTTACTTATAAATACCTCAATCTGCATCTCTAACTGATGGTGATTTTATTATGGCGTTAATCCCAGAAAGGATAAACATGATTTGTCTCTTCAGGGGAGGGAGGTAGCATTTTTTTTCTTTTGAAAATTTTCAAACATCTGGAAAAGCTGAATACAATCATGCAGTGACCACCCATGTACTCACCATCTAGATTGTACAGTCATTCCCTAATTTTTTTCAATCTTGTAATTTTTCCAGAGGTCAGCAAACTATGTCGTGCTGGCTGCTGGCTGTAAAGTTTTATTAGAACACAGCCAACACTTGTTCATTTAAGTATTATCTGTGGCTGCTTTTGAGTTATAATGGCAGTTGAGCATTGCAATACGCATATGCTCATTAGCCTAAAATATTTGCTCTCTGGCCCTTTAAGGAAAAGTTTGCTGACTCCGATCTATCCATTCATCAATATGTTGTTTTTTATTTTTGCTGCATTTAAGGTAGGTTGCAGACACCACTGTATTTTACCCCCAAGTGTTACAGCATGCATATCATTTACTAGAGTTCAGTATTTATTTATGGCTCTTCTTTTCCTTTGGAGGTAAAATATGCATTTAGTGACATGCACAGATCTTAAGTGCACCATTTGAAGCCTTTTGGCAAATTTATAACTGTAACGTAGACTCGTGGCTATGTAGAACACCGTCAGCACCCTTGAAACTTTCCTCAGCCCCTTCCCATTCCAGTCATTCCCTGCTGCTACCCGCAGGCAACCATGGTTCTGATTTTTTTTCTGCCACAGACTAGTTTTTCCTTGTTCTAGAACTTCATGTAAGTGGAATCTTAGTATATGCTTCTTTGTGTAAGGTTTCTTTCACTCGACACAATATTTTTGTGACTTACTTACACTGTAGATGTATGTCAGTAGTTCTTTTTGTTTTTTATTGAGATGAAATTCACGTAGCATAAAATTAACCATTTTACACTGTACAATTTAGTGGCGTTTAGTACATCCACAGTGTTGTGTAACCATCACCTCTTTCTAGTTCCTAAGATTTTTTTCACCTCGAAAGGAAACCCCTACCCATTAAGCTCCCCATTTTCCTCCTTTCCCCAGCCCCTGGCAACTACCTATGGATCTGCCTATTCTGACATTTTATATAAATGGAATCATACAGTTTGCGACCTTTTCTGTCAGTCTGCTTTCACTTAGCTTAATGTCTTTGATGTTCATCCATATTCATGTATCTTATTTCACCAGTGTTTGTGATCAAATCATATTCTGTTGACCACAATTTCTTTATCTACTGATGGAGATTTAGACTGTTTCCACCTTTTGTCTGTTGTGGATAATACTGCTGTGAATATTCATGTACGAGTGTTTGAGTGTCTGTTTTTAATTCTCTTGGGAGTGGAATTGCTGGGCCACGTGGTATTTAGTTTATAAATTGCCAGACTGTTTTCCAAACTGCCTGTGTACCATACTACACTCACCAATAATGTATGAATGTTCTCCTGGTTCCACATCCTCATCAACATTTGATGTTGTTGGTCTTAATTTTAGCCATTCTGATGCGGGTGGAGGTGGGATTATTTTGAAGATGAAAATTCTGAACACTCTTTCTTCGGCAGATGATTTTATATGGGCTGCTGAATGATATAGTCAGCAGTTTCCTAAATAGCCTTCTCATGGCTACAGCAGAAGTTTTAGTGAGTTTCATAGTGACCTTTATTAAAAGCCCAGAGTACAAATTTAAAATGTCTGAATGCAGTTAATTTAGCCCAAGTACAGTGTGGCTGAGGCACCAGTCGACAGTGTGTCCCTGAACCCAGTGTTTCTTTTTCACACAGTATCCCCGGGACTGCCAGCAATGGCACTGCCTGGGAGCGAGCTGAAAGTGCAGGTTCCAGGAACACCTCAGAAGTGGTACACTAGAACCACTTGGTATGGGAACGGCAGTAGGTGTTTTTAACAAGCACACAGTGGAATTTTTGGTTTTGTTTTGTCTTTGTTTTTCACTTTTTTGTGGTGGAAAATTTGAAACATAATCAAAAGTAGAGAGAATATGATGAATACTGCCACCACGTGCCCATTACCCAGCTCCATCAGTTAACAACATTTTGCCAGTCTTGTTGCATCTGGAACTCTACTTTTATTTCCTGAAGTACTTGTAGACATCAGGTCATTTAGCCTGTAAATACATCAGTATCTCTAATTGATGGTGATTTTATTTTTAATTGAACCACTCTGCCATCCTCCCGTCTAATAATATTAATGATTATTTCTTGCTAGCATCTTGTATCCAGTCTGTATTTAAATTTCTTTGTCTCAGTGATTTTGGTAATTTTATTCATTTCAGGATCCACAGTTTTATACATCACATGTGTGAGTAATTCTTAAATATATCAAAACTTGGGACCACTGCCTTCTTAGATATTCCTCAAAGTTGCTTTTCTCAGCTCATCTTCTGTTTGGTAAAAGCCTGCAGTGTTGGCCTTTGCAAAGAAATCTGCAAACTGCTTGGCCAGCCGCTGATTCTGAAATGTAGCTTCTTGGGGAGCCTGCAGGGAAGTGTGTAAACTACTGACTGAGCATTCTAGATCTCCAAAGGTAAAAGCAGGAAAAGTGAGGGAACTACCTCTGAGGCTATATGAGGTGGCTATTTTGCAACTAGGTTCAAGTTGGACCTTTTAGATGCAGTTGTGTATGAAGTACATAAACAGTTTTGCAAGGAGTGGGGGCCCTCAATCAGATGATATTTTTAAGTATTTGAGGTTGTCAGATTGTAAGGTTGGGATTTTGGTAGTATTGAAAGGACATTTTGGCCAGAGATCCCAGGAATACCCAAATACTGACATGTCCATCACCTTCCTTTTTGACATCAGTAGTGGAACCATTCTTTCCAGAAAAAGTAAAAATTAGGTAAGAGGAATTCAGGGTTCCTCTTTATTTTAGATGAGCCAGTACCAAGTACCCCTATGTGGGGCTTTCTTGCCAGAACACAACTTAAGTCAAAGGCCTTTGGAGGCTTATGTCTATTCTGGAGCCCAAGTCAGGCCTTCCCAACTGGCTGGTCAGATTAAAGAGGAGGTGAATGCTTTTACCAGCAGCATAGGGAAGAGTAGCCCTGGCCACCTAGCAGACAGTGTGTTTAAGATATGTTTCTTGTAGACAGCATATAGTCGGAGCTTTCTTTTTTATCCAGGCCAACAACCTCTGCCTGTTGAGTGGGGTCTTTTACTCATTCATGTTTAATGTAATTGTTACTGTGGTTGGATTTACTGCTGTTGCTATTTTTTTCTGATTCTTGCATGTCTTATTTATTCTTCTGTTCATCCTTAACTGCTTTATTTTATGTTAAACAAATATAGAGTACCATTTTGATTCCTTTGTTGATTTTTTTCCTTTACTTTAAAAATACTATTTTCTTAAAAATAAAGTAAGTGGTTGCTTATAAATAAGTAAATTAAGCAGTGAATTCTGTCAGTCATTGTTTATCTAGGAACATCTATATTTTACATTCATTTTTTGAAGGATAGTTTTGCCGGGTATAGAATTTTTGGTTGACTTTTTTTTCTCCCAATACTTTGAATGTCATTCCATTGCCCTCTTGCCTCCATTGTCGCCAGTGAGACGTCAGATATTACTTGTCTTGTTGTTCCACTTTCTGTGATGAGTTGTTTTTCCCTTGCTACTTTCCATAGTTTTTCTTTGTTTCCACCTTCAACAGTTTGAGTATGATATGTCTAGGTGGGAATCTCTATATTTATCCTACCTTTGGTTGGGTAATATTTATCCTATTTTGGCTTTGTAGATTAAAGTTTTCATCAAATTTGGGAAATTTAGGGCCATTATTTCTTCAGAATATTTTTTGTCTTTTCTCTTTGCTCTCCTGGCACTCCCATTATATGTATAGTGGTATGTTCGTTGTTGCTCCACAGGTCACTTGAGGATGTCTTCATTTTTTCAATCTTTTAAAATCTTCTTTAAAATTTTTCTTTAAATTGAATAGTTTCTATTGATTTATCTTCATATTCACTGATTTTTCTACCATCTCAAATCTGCTACTGAGCCTTTCTTCTTTGTTATTTGTATTTATTGAAATCCTGTGTTTTCATCTATTCTCATAGTTGCCTTGAAGTCTTGGTCATCTGTGTCCCACAGCTGGGAGCACTCAAAGACAGTTTCTGTTAACTTCCTTTTTTCTTTAGTATGGGTCACACTTTCTTGTTTCTTTGAAAGTTTGAAAAATTTTTTTGTTGAATATTTCACTTAATATATTGTAGCAACTCTGGATTTGACTTTTTCCTTCTGAGAGTAGTGATTGTGATGGGGTTTTTTTGTTTTGTTTTGTGTAAGGAACTGCCTTGGTCTGAATTTGGTGGCTGTCTTCCTCACAGTGTGTGGTTGTTGATGTCTCTGCTCAGTTATTTTTTTGTTTTTGTTTTTGTTTTTGGCTTGCCTTTCCAGGAGTCACCCCTGTGTCTACACAGCACTTTTAAAACATATTCCAAAATTAAGGAGGGTGGGTAAAATATATTTGGAAAAATACTGATGGTTGTTGAAGCTGGACAGTGAGTACGTGAGTTTGTTGTTATACATTCTCTTTTTCTTTGGTATGTGTTTAGAAATTTTCCTAATTAAAAAGTAGGGGGAGGGCTTCCCTGGTGGCGCAGTGCTTGAGAGTCCGCCTGCCGATGCAGGAGACGCGGGTTCGTGCCCCGATAAAATGCCAATTAAAACTCCAAGGAATCTTCACTTCCTGCCCATATTATAAGATGAAAAAAAAAAAAAAAAAAAAAAAAAAAAAAGTAGGGGGAAAGTATGAACGAGTTAACTATTTCCTTGGGAACAGGAACAAGGTGGGAAGTAGAACAGAAGTATAGTATGCAGTGGAAGTGTACTGAGTAGTGATTGTGGTCATGTATTTACACTGTGCAGGGAATTTAGAAAAGTATGTTTATGTCTAGAAAACTCAAGAGAATCAACTTGAAATATTACTAGGATCTTATAAGGTAATGAGGTAGAAGATATGCATAGGGAAGCCAGTGGCCAACTCCTGCAAAGGCAGTGTCAACTGAAAATGGTGGAGTAAAAGGCATCTTAAGTACAAGCTACCCGGAAAAATTCTTAATCAAAAAATGAGACCCACACATCATCAGATTTTACTGAGCAACATAGGAGATTTGATTACAGATTTGATTACAACATAGGAGATTTGATTACAACATAGCAACATAGGAGATTTGATTACAGGGATAGGAAGCTGTTTCTCTAAGGGACAATTTGATGAGGATGAGGAAGGTTGTGGAGATGGGCGGGCAGCATAAGGAGCCCCTGAGACAGATCTGCAGCGAGCCTGCCCTCTGGAGCCAGGCAGGTGGCGGGCGGCAGCCTGAGCCTTGTGTCCCTACTGTGTTGTAGTCGGGGCGGTGCCCGTCCTCTCCAAAGACTCCATGTCAGGGAAGAAGGGCCACCGCTTTGTCCAGGTGAAGACCCCGCACAACCCCTTAGACTCCAGCGCCCCCCTGATGAAGAAGGGGAAGCAGAGGGAGGTCCCCAAGGCCAAGAAGCCAACCTCGTTGAAGAAGGTGTGTGGTGTTTTGTTTGAAATTGGGCGCGAGAAAACCTACAGACTCTCCTCTATCTGTGTTACTCCTTTCAACTCTTACATTTTTAGATTTTAACCTTCACTCTCATTTGAACCTGCTGTTGTCAAGATGGGTACACGATTCTCTGAAATACGATCCCTTGCTCTTCCCACATGGTGTGCTAGAGCGAGTGAAGCAGGGTGCCTTAACTGCTGGAGGGGGAGGCCTTATTTATTTATTTATTTTAATGCTTTGGAGTGACATGGACAGAAAACCAGAAATGGGGGGAGTATGTTCTCATTCACATTTTTTACCCTCATTCTACCCAAGGCAATCTGTCTAATGCTCAGATTTGGTAAATATTGGACACTTCCTGGCACACGTTCTTTGATTTAATTTTCAAAGCAGCCTGTGGAGTGTGGTGGGTCTCAGACGGAGGAAGGCATGTCTTGCCTGGGGCCAGGTAACAGTTGAGCTGCACAGTTGCATCAGAGCCCAGTTCTCACATGCCCTGCTCTGTGCACCCAGGGGGAACATGCTGCTCCTGGGCTATGGGTGAGAGGGTTGGGCCCACCCATGGTGGGGGGTGGGGAGTAAGGGCACAAACAGGCACAGTGCCAACCAGCTAAACTTGGGTGGCTTATTTTGCAGAAGAGCTTATTTTTAAGTGCAAGTATTTAGGTGTTTTGATCGTTTATTTAATTTCAAAGATTATTTTGAAAGAGCGGCAGGAGAGAAAGCAGCAGCGTCTCCAAGAAAATGCTGTGAGCCCAGCTTTTGCCAGTGACGATGTGCAAGATGGAGAGAGTGGTGGTGACGACCAGGCCCTCGGGCAGCCTGACCCCTCAGGTACTGAGTTCTGTTGGTTCGTTTCTTAAAGAATCCTTCAGCGGGGGCGGCCGTATGCACAGCCAACTCTGGGCTTTGCCCAGCCCTTGTCCCTGTGTGGTAAAAGCACGTGGGCGTTGGGCCTCGGGAAGGCAGAAGTTTTCAGTCTCCTAACTTGACAGTAAGAGGACGTCCCTATGGGCAGGTGGAGCTTCTGGTGCCTCTGCTTCTCAGGGGTGAGAGGGACAGAGGGGTGAGGCCCCTGAGTTCGATCTGTGTGGCATTGGATGGTCCTCGCAATTTGAAGTGCCATGAGAATTAACACCATTAACTGCAGAGCTGCTTGCCCACAAGTGTGTGAGACATGGTGTCATACAAAAAATGGGTTAAGTAAGCATTTTAGTGAATTATACATTCAGAACAGTTCACAAATCAGAAGCATATAGCTTGAGGACTTTTTACCAAGTTCAGAAGTGTATCAGCCCCACAGTCCCCATGATTCCCGCCCAAGGCCTCAGCCCTGTCTGCAGCCCCACCCGTGAGCTTTCAGGCTTTGTTCCAGTGGAATCTTGCAGTGTGTGCCCCTCTGGCCAGCAGTATGTCTGTGGCCTGTAGAGGTAGTTCCAGATTGTCATTGCTGCATAGCATCCAGGTGTACAAACGTGCCAGGTGGCATGTGAGTGTTGTGGGCGTTTCCACTTTGGGGCCATTAGAAGCAGAGGTGCTGTGGCAGCATGGGATGTATATAGAGGACGCGAGCACCCCTCCTGCTGGCATTTCCCCAGGGTGGATCTTGGGGTTGGGTCCACTGCCACCCAGCCTAGAGGCTTCTGCCATACAGGCTGCCAGGGGTTTTACAAGCTACGCCTATGGGTGGTGGAGAGGCCAGCCACGGGACATTGTCTTTCCTGGTGGGTGAACTCCTTCCTCTGGTAATGTTATTGCACTTGCACTTTGGAAGTGTCTAGAGGTAACAATTTGAGTGTTGTAAGATGAATCCTGTCTGATGAATCCTGTCTGATGATGCCTGCAGTGGGGCCTGGGGCACTGTGCTTACTCTGACACTGGGTGTTGAATTCTTTGCCCACACCTATTGTGGCTCTCCCAGTTTAGATGTTCAGCTTCTCTTTTAAGGGTTATTTGGTAAAGGAATGGTTTCAGGCATTTAAGTGCAAAAAAATTAAGAACTAATAAACCTGCTTTTAAAACTTATTGATAAGAACTTCAGGTTAAATTTCAAAATTAAAAAATAAATTTGGCCACTGAAACCACACATTTAAAAATGGTTAGGGAATTCCCTGGTGGTCCAGTGGTTAGGACTACACACTCTCACTGCCAGGGGCTCGGGTTCCATCCCTGGTTGGGGAACTAATATCCTACATGCTGCGTGGTGTGGCCAAAAAAACCAGAAACGGTTAAAATGGTAAATTTTGGAAATATTTGCCGCAATAAAAATAAGTAGATAACTAAATAAGGGGCGGGGAGGCACCTCTAGGCAGCGCAGAGAGTCGCCCGGTTCTTCTGATTTCCCAAGCCATTCCCATCACTCATCTGCCTGCTGTGACACTCGGTGGCCGTGTCTGGATGTGGCGGGTGTGTGCCGCCGAGTCTGGCTGCTCTGGCGACACTGCCGCTGTTGAGCATTCCCTGCCTCAGTCCCCACAATCTGTGTGTGGAGCCCCGGAGGGGCCATGCTGTAACTTCTTTCTCTAAAACTCCAGGGGGAACGAAAGAGTTGGTATCCTGTGCTTCTGTGGCAGAGAGCAAGTCAGAAGACCAGCTGGGAGCTGAGCCCCAGAAGGAGGTGGAGGCCTGCCCCAAGATCCACAGCCGGCGGTTCAGGGAGTGAGTGAGCCAGGCAGCTGTGCCTGCAGTGGGGCCTGGGGCACTGTGCATACTCTGACACTGGGTGTTGAGTTCTTCGCCCACTGGCTCGGCTGGGCCCCGGTGTTTGCATCCTCCCGGTGGAAGGTGGCTAGGACCTGGTTGTAACACATGCCAGGGCTACCTAATCTGCTCCCGAGAGGTCCTAGTGCTGTGATGCCAGAGGTGCCCTTGAATCCAAGCTGTGGTTGGGGGAACGGGTAGTGAGGTGACAGCCCGTTGCATCTGGGTTCCCTCTCATTGTGTAATTTCTGTATGTAATTTCTTAGGGCACTCCGCCTCCTTCCCTCCCACTTTTCTTCAGGATAGACTCTCCAAACATTTTTTTTCATGAGAAGAGGTGCCCAGGAGTGGCTGCCCTGGGGACATGGGGCCCAGAGGTCTTTTGTCCTTTGTAGTTGGGGCTGGAGAGGATGCCACCATCCATACCTTTCATAAAATCCTATCAGGAGTTCCACCTTTTTGACTAGTATTGCTCACCAAAGCGTGATTTCTTGAAAGGGGCATGCTGTCCCCCTCATCCGAGGTGTGCCAAGAGCAGTGCGCTGGAGTGTCGCAGCCAGTGGGAACGTGACCGTGTCTAATGTTTCTTTCAGCTACTGCAGCCAGATGCTCAGTAAAGAAGTTGACGCTTGTGTTACGGACCTGCTGAAAGAGCTGGTTCGTTTCCAAGATCGTATGTATCAGAAAGATCCAGTCAAGGCTAAGACCAAACGCCGACTTGTGTTGGGGCTGAGGGAAGTTCTCAAACATCTGAAGCTCAAAAAGTTGAAATGCGTCATCATCTCCCCCAACTGTGAGAAGATACAGTCGAAAGGTAAGGGCGCTGTGTCATCCCTGGCGTGTGGCCCCCTATAGTACACACCTTCTGGCCACCACACACCCGTCAGCAGCTAAGGGGCACCGAGGCCTCGGCACCTCAGTTTGTTTCATTTTCTCTTAATTGAGTAATTTGTTTCCAGATTTTATGGGATCAGCCAGCTCATTCCTCTGTGAGGCAGGTTGTGGTCTTCACAGTGTGGCTCAGCTGGCCTGCGCAGGCCTCTTGTGGTTACTGGTCACTCACACCACAGAGGCTTTGTGACTGTCAGCTAGGTGGTCCCTGCATTGGGCTTTTGTCCGTTTTAAATGTGCTTGCTGAGTCTGTGACTAACTCATCTGTCCACTGATTAAAGATGGGTTTGTTGGGCTTCCCTGGTGGTGCAGTGGTTGAGAATCTGCCTGCCAGTGCCGGGGACATGGGTTCGAGCCCTGGTCTGGGAAGATCCCACATGCCACGGAGCAACTGGGCCCGTGAGCCACAACTACTGAGCCTGCGTGTCTGGAGCCTGTGCTCCACAACAAGAGAGGCCACGACAGTGAGAGGCCCGCGCACCGCAATGAAGAGTGGCCCCCGCTTGCCGCAACTAGAGAAAGCTCTCGCACAGAAACGAAGACCCAACATAGCCAAAAATATAAATAAATAAATTAATTAATTAATTAATTAAAAAAAAATAAAGATGGGTTTGTCCAAGCACTTGGCCATCTTACTGATGCTGGAAGGTTTGTTCTGTTTTTCAGGATGTGATATGCTGGGCGAGGTGACCAAAAGATGGACATCTGTGACACCTCCCATTGGCCCTTGGGGTGGTCCATTTTGTGTCCTCCTCAGGCTGTGCAGTAGAGGGGTTGTCAGTTAAGAGTAGAATGCTGTCACTTAGACACTGGTCCTCCATCTTCGTGTAAGTGTTCGGTGTCCTTCTCTGCTCCTATTCCTCTCTCCTTCAGTGTAAACTTCCTCTCGGCTGGAACTGGACTTTGAGGGATACAGTCCAGATCCTAGCCCTGAGCTTTTCCGGTTGCTGTTCCAGTCTGAAGACTTGAGGTTTTCTGACTTGCCTGCAGCACCTAGGGGCACTAGGGCAGCAGCTGGACCTGGTCATTGCCAGCCCAGTGGGCTCGTCCCCGTCCTAGTTCAGGGCAGATCCAGTCCCAGCCATCAGAAAGGGGTCTCAGGGGACCTGCCTGTTCGATTGTGTGCTGGCAGTGTCCCCACCACAGTCCCATGGCAGGCGCTGAACTTGAAATGAAGCACTCCTCAAGCTCTCACCCGGCTGCCTGAACCTCTTAAGGCAGTGGGTGCATCGGGCATTCTGTAGCTTCTCTCCGGGAATCGTTCCAGGGTCTGTGCTTTCTGTGCAGCTGTCGTCCTGGGGACAGCCTCCCCCATTTCCTGTTGGGGTGTGGTGTTTAGTGGCTCTCGTGCACTCCTTTGTCTCGGGGTGTGCACATCCCCCAGTGGCTTATGAGAGAAAGGGTACATGGCAGCACATTTAGAAGATGGTGCTTGAAATCGAGGCTTTCTGATTTCTTACTTTTTCCCCTTTGTTCTCCCTTCTCTCTGGAAGCTTGTGGGAAGTTCATGTGCCCAGCGTTCCGGGAGGTGGGGGCAGTGCCCTCAGTTCTCGGACGTGCTGTTGGGTTTGTACTCTGAATCTCCCTACAGTCGGTCCTCTCTAGGCTCTTCCTGGAACCATGTTGCTCAGATGCTGGGCCTCCTGCACTGCTGTCCTCCTGTGACTTTTCCTCTTCTTCCTTTCACCTCTTTCGTTTGGTTCTGTTTTCTGTAAGGATTCTTCAACTATGTCTCTTAATCTTTCTGTAGAGGTTTTTATTTCTGCTATTATTTTTAATTTCTGGGAGCTATTTTTATTGTTTTCTGAAGTTTCTTTGTGTGTTGCAGCTGCCGTTGCTCTGTGGATGTGTTTCCTCCCTGAGAATAATAGTGATGTGAGGTTTTCTTCTCCCTGCATAGCCTCCCTTTCCAGGTGGTTTGCTGTTTTGATCTCATGGTGGAGGTTTCTGCAGATACTGGTGTCTGCTATCTGTTTGTCTTTTTTTTTTTTTTTTTTTTTTTTTTTTCTGCTGTGTCTGGCCTGAATGGAGGTAGCACAGGGTTTCACAGGCTCCCGACGTGCAGGCTCAGCGGCCATGGCTCACGGGCCCAGCCGCACTGCGGCATGTGGGATCTTCCCGGACCAGGGCAGGAACCCCCATCCCCTGCATCAGCAGGCGGACTCTCAACCACTGCGCCACCAGGGAAGCCCTTTTTTTTTAATTATTAAATTTTTTTGGTCACACCGTGGAGCATGTGGGATCTTAGTTCCCCAACCAGGAATCGAACCCGTGTTCCCTGCATTGGGAGCACGGAGTCTTAACCACTGGACCGCCAGGGAAGTCCCCTGTTTGTCTTTAACAGCTATTAAAGCTGACTAGAAATCTGGGGGTGGGGCTGGCATTTAAAGGCTTTGAGCTGCATTTGAGGGCAGTGGTTCTCAAACTGTAGTGAGCATCAGAGTCACCCAGGAGGCTGGTGAAGACACAGATTCCAAAGTTTCTTCCTGAGCAGGTCCAGCAGGCCCCAAAATTTGCATTTCTAGTAAGTTCTTTGCTGCTGCTGTGGATGCCAAGCTAGAACCTATGCTGTAGGATGACAGCTGGGCTGCTGCTCTCTCTCTCTGACTCCATACTCCCTGGGGAAGAACTCTCTTACCTCCTGCTGGGAGTCTGTGACCTTGTCCTTATGCCCACCGTTAGAAGTGTGGGTCCCAGTGTTCCACAGACCTACCGCCCTGCCTCACCAGAGGCCTGGCACTGGCATGTCGGCTGGGTGAAGTGGGTCTGGACACCAACTTGCTGTCACCTCATCTGAACTTCACCCTGTCTCTGAAGTGCCTGATGCTGCCAGTTAGCTGCCAAGCTCTGGGGATTGAATTGTAGGATATAAATGGCTGGGTCTAGGGGTTTTCCCATTGTTGGCTTAGGTCAATTGAGTCAACGGTTTGCGTTTCAGCTTCCAAAACTTTTTTGCTCTTATCTTGCATTCTCCTGTGGATTTCCACCTTTAAAATACAAACCAGGGACTTCACTGGTGGCGCAGTGGTTAAGAATCTGCCTGCCAATGCTGGGGATATGGGTTTGAGCCCTGGTCCAGGAAGATCCCACATGCCACAGAGCAACTAAGCCCATGTGCCACAACTACTGAGCCTGCGCTCTAGAGCCCGAGAGCCACAACTGCTGAGCCCATGTGCCACAACTACTGAAGCCCACGTGCCTAGAGCCCGTGTTCCACAACAAGAGAAGCCATTCCAGTGAGAAGCCCGTGCACCTCAATGAAGAGCAGCACCCCCGCTCGCCGCAACTAGAGAAAACCCCCATGCAGCAACAAAGACCCAAAGCAGCCAAAAATAAATTAAAAAGTAATAATAAATTAAAAAAAAAAAGACAAACCAAAAAACGGGAATGTGTGTATTCAGTTGGCAGTCCACCTTGCTCTTTCTTTAAGCCCCCACTCCTCTGACTGTGGCAGAGAATGGAGCTAAGAATGTACTGATGGGCATCTCAAGGATTTGTTATGCATTTAAAATATGTTGTTTAATCATCCGCCCCTACATTGTTTTTTTTTTTTTTCTTTGAAGCATAAAGAACTCGATTATGTGTTTTAGGAATGTTTATACCTTGGAAAAGATAGCCAATAGATTGTAGTCATTTTACATGTAAAATTTAGTATTACAGCCTGGGATTATGTTAAAATACTGTATTTGCTCCGAGTGGCATTTTCCTGATAATTCTGAACTTAAACTTTAAATGGAAATTGTTTACCTGATTGAGCATTTGCTTGTTTTAAGTTGTCTTCCTGTGGAACTTTGAGAAGTCGGCACTTGGAGATGCTTTCAGCTCTCACTAGTAACGTTGGCTGGGAGCTGGGCTGAACAAAACTGTCTGGACTTGGCTGCTGTGTCGGGGAAAGCAGGGCATGCTTCCAGTGTCCTCTCCCGGGGGAGTCAGAGAGGACACGCTGCATTCCCTCAAAACGAGATGTGACAACACGTGTGAAGTGTGATGTCATCTACCAGGGAGGCTCCTTGGGGCTGGTCACATGGGTACCCTCTGCCTGGCATGTCCTCACATTCCAGACTCACAGAAGGAAAGCTGGTGTTCAGTGTAATCCTCATATGCATTTTGGGTACAGTAGCCACTCTTCCCAGGTGGGGTGACAGGGGTCCTCCCAAAGCCCAAATTCAGGGACCAGAAGGGTCAGCCAAGTAAGTTGGCCTTTTTATGGATGGCAGCTGTCGGGCCGGTCACATTATAACTCTTTTCTGTACACCGCTGTAACAGCCTTTGTGACCAGCTCCTGGGTTGGGGTGGACACAAGGCAGAGACAGACCCTTGAGTGAGAGGCCATGGGGCTGATGTTGAAGAGACTCGGTCAGCCTCCCATGGTAATCTGAAAATATCTCACTGTAAGGAACACAGCCATCGCCTCACCTCTGGTCCTGTCTCCCCCTTTTCACCACCTGCCCAGAACTGTTTTTTCTTTAAAGTTTATATCCCCAGAGATTTCATCCTCATCATCTTTGATACTCTGCAGGTAGATCTGGGGCAGGGGGGTGGGCAGAGTTCAGGGATATGGGGCTTAACCATTAATCCCCAGTCAAACCAGCTGCAGAATGAGTTCCCCGTTCCCTCAGAGCAGTAGGATGTGCATTTGAGAAGTTCCTCTTGAAAGAAGATTAGGTAATTAGATACCAGGTGATAGGAGATATTGGGAAATTTTTCCTTCTCATGCAGACGATGTGTGTTCGCTCAGGAATTGGTCAGTTTGTAGAGGAACCGGGGCAATGCCATGCTGTAACCTCCTTCCAGATGCTAGGTTCAAACAGCTCACCATGCAAGAGGGCAGGATTCAGTGCTTGTTACTTTCCTTTGGGAGTAAGTTCCCCCAGATACTTCCCACCACCCAGAGGCAACCACCATTGCCATATTTTGATGTGTCCTTGTTAGTCCGTGTGTGTGTGTGTGTGTGTGTGTGTGTGAGTGAGAGAGAGAGAGAGAGAGATCTGGTGTCCTGGATCCCATTTGTGCCTTGCTCTTTTAGTATCACAGTCTGGCTCGGGACCCTCCCATTCTTCTGGCTGCACAGTCCCGGGCTGATGGTCACTTCAGTTGCATTCAGATTTCTGTAGCCGTAAACAAGGATGCACCTTTCACACTGTAGTTTTTTTCTTTTTTCTTTTTGTTTTGGCCACGCTGTCCGGCATGCAGGATCTTAGTTCCCCGACTAGGGATCGAGCCCACACCCCCTGCAGTGGAAGTGCAGTCTTAACCACTGAACCACCAGGGAAGTCCACACACTGTCATTTCTTACTGAACATCTCCATAGGTACATTCCTAGAGCGAAACGGCCTGTGCACTTACCAGGTTAACGCACATGCCACTCTGCACCCCGGGGACACTGCAGCCCCTGCAGCCGGGCTGCTGATTCCTCCTGGCCTCCCCACCCTCTTGGGAAGATTCTGTTAGCATGTTCTTGTGAAGGGAGGTTGAGCACCTTTCCGCTTGTTTAAGGGCTTGGCATTTTCTGTAAATTGTTGATTCTTTGCCCATTTGTCTTTTAGGATGTCAGTCTTTTTTATATTTACGTGTACCTTTTTTTAATAAATAAGACTCCCTTTGGGTAAGAGTTGTAAATATTTTTGTTTTGTCATGTGTCTGTTTTTCTTTAAACCTTTTTTGGCCATGCAGAGACTTCAGGTGTGTACATATTGGTATTTTTTATTCTTGTTTTTATCGCATCTAGGTTTTGTCATTCATCGACCTTCCTACTCCAGGGTTATTAAAGATTTTTTTTCTTAATTCTGTTTTTTTTCCTGGTTCTTCCATGTTTTCATTTTTGTTTAGGTTGAATGCATTTTAGTCTAAGATGGATCTTTGCAGAGGCTGACCCGCTCGCTGTCCCTTCTGCACCTTCTCCGGTGCTTCAGAGTGCTTTTGCAGACCTGCTCACGCCCCACGCATTTGGGTCGTTTCTGGACCTTCCATTCTGTCGCTCTTCATCCCCTCGTTTATGTTCTTGTAGTTTTATAGCAAGCTTTAATACCTGGCTATGCTAGCCTGACGTTAGTTTCCTTTTTCAAAAGGCTGTTCTCATATTATGTATTGGGTTGGCCAAAAAGTTTCTTTGATTTTTAAGTAAAAATAAGAGACACATTTTACATTTTCACCAAGAACTTTATTGAACAACGTATTCACCCTTTTGTTCCACTACCTTCTGCCATTTTTCAGGCAACTTCATAATTCCACCTTCCCAAAACTTTTTGAGCAAAGAACTGTCCTGGGTGCCTTTTACAGTCTTCCAGGAAATGGAAATTTTTTCAGTCGAGATTTTTGTAAAGGCTGAAATAAATGGAAATCTGAAGGTGCAATGTCTGGTGAATACGACGGATGAATCAGAACTTCCCAGCCCAGCCAAGCTGTAACAGTTTTTGCCTGGTTATCAAAGAAACATGCAGTCTTGCATCATCCTGATGGAAGATTATGCATTTTCTTTTGACTAATTCTGGACGTTTTTCAAGTGCTGCTTTCATTTCGTCTAACTGGGAGCAGTACTTGTTGGAATTAATTGGTTTTGCAGAAGGAGCTCATGATAGAGAACTCCCTTCCAATCCCACTGTATATACACCATCACCTTCTTTGGATGAAGACCAGCCTTTGGTGTGGTTGGTGGTGGTTCGTTTTGTTTGCCCCAGGATCTCTTCCGTTTCACATTATTGTACAGTATCCACTTTTCATCACGCATCACAATTTGTTTTAAAAACGGAACATTTTTGTTACGTTTCAGTAGAGAATCGCATAAGGAAATACAGTCAAGAAGGTTTTTTTGCTTAAGTTATGTGGAACCCAAACATCAAAGCGATTAACATAACCAAGCTGGTGCAAATGATTTTCAGTGCTTGATTTGGATATTTTGAGTATGTCGGCTGTCTCCTGAGTGGTATAACGTTGATTGTTCTCAATTAATGTCTTGATTTGGTCGCTGTCAACTTCAACTGGTCTGCCCGACCATGGAGCATCAGCCAGCGAGAAATCTCCAGCATGAAACTTTGCAAATCACTTTTGACACATTTTATCAGTCACAGCACCTTCTCTGTACACTGCACAAATCTTTCTTTTGCATTTCCGTTGCGTTTTTACCTTTCTTGAAATAATAAAGCATAATATGCCGAAAATGTTGCTTTTTTCCTTCCATCTTCAATATTAAAATGGCTACACAAAAATTCAATTTTGATAAGTTTTTTTAAATGCATGCTGATATGACAGCTGTCACAATACAATCTAACAAAATTGTTTCGAATGAAGTTAAAGACAGCTAAGTGCTACTAGAGACATCTTACGGAAAAAAATGAACCTTTTGGCCAACCCAATATTTTTTTATTTCTCAAAAAAATCCCACTTAGAGTAAGTTACAGTATAAAAAGTTTTACGTTAACATAAAATTGACACGTGATCATATTGGATCATTCCATCCAAGAGCATAGGTGCCTTTTGTTTAGATTTTCTATTGTGTTTCACTAGCATGTTGAAGTTGCCCTATAAATCTCTCACGTTTCTTGCCACATTTATCCCCACCTGTTGTAGAATTTGGTTGCTGTCACGTATAGAGTCATTTCTTCCGTTTTACGTTCTAGCTGGCTGATGCGTGTGTGCATACTGGGGGTTTCTGCACTACTCACACACAGACATCCAGATGTGATCCTTCTGTTGGTGGTAACTCGTCAGTGCTGCTGGGTTTCTGGCTCCACAGGCATGTCACCCGCATGCAGGGCTCCCTTCACTCTCTCTGCTCTCAGTGCCACCCCCGCCCCACTCCTGCCTGGCTGGTGCTTCGCTGGGAGGCAGGGTTGGAGGTACTCAGTGACCTCTCTGGGCTCTGGATTTCCATCTCTTAAGTGGGGTGCAGCCTCCCCCTCAGGGTTTTGTGAGGATATAGGAGCCAGTCCACATGAGGCCGTTAGACTGAGGGTGGCATGTGGTATTCAGCAGATACTTACCAAGCCTTCATTTTTCCATTACGCACAGCACCTGCACCAGATGTTGACTTGACGTGGACATGTTTCATCATGTTTTATTGCTTTTAGAAGTGTCTCTCTTGGAGAGTTGATTTCTTCCATGTGGCCGAGAGTAATAGTGTACTTGCACCGCAGTGACTGGCTCTCTGCTGGTGAAACCTGGCCTGGTACACTGGCTTGAGTAAGGAAATAGCCAGGAGTGTCACTGTCGGGAAAAGCCCTTGGCGGCCAGTGTCACCAGCATGCTCGTGTGATGCATTTCCATGTCATTTTCGTTGTCCTTTGACCAGGTGGGCTGGACGACACCCTGCACACCATCATTGACTACGCCTGTGAACAGAACATCCCCTTTGTGTTTGCTCTCAACCGCAAAGCTCTGGGGCGCAGTCTGAACAAGGCTGTTCCTGTCAGCGTGGTAGGGATCTTTAGCTACGACGGGGCCCAGGTGAGATGGCGAGGGGGCGCATCTTGCTTGTGGGAGGGAGTCGGGAGGGATGGTGGTTGTCTGCACTTCCACAGCACAGCAGCGCTGAGTCTCAGGGGCCCCAGTGTTGAAGGCAGCAGCATTGGTGGCCTCCTTTCCTTAAAAGCATGGAAGTGTGATTCCGAATTTAGCTCCGGTGCTCACTGCTGCCGCAGAGGAGCCTTAAGCAGGCCTGAGGTCAGCACCTGCTCTTCCCTCGGGCAGCACCGCAGGCGGGCATCACCCTGCTTCCCTGTGGAGGGCGCCATCACCAGTTTGCAGGGGATGTCACCTGTGCTCTCATTTCTGCCCAAGGACCAGTTCCACAAGATGGTCGAGCTGACGATGGCGGCCCGGCAGGCGTACAGGACCATGCTGGAGAACGCGCAATGGGAGCTGCCGGGAGAGCCTGGGCCCCTTGCACCTGCTAGCCCACCCACGCAGGGCCCCAGCTGCTCTGCAGAGGACAGACCCCTGGCCCCTGCCGGAAAAGAGGAGCCACACTACAGTGAGTGCTGGGGGAATGGATTTGGGGTTAAGCCTCCTCTAAGTCTTCGTCGACACTGATTGAAAAGGGTGCCCAGGAGAGCAGCATGGCCACTGTGGCAGGACTGGCTGCAAAAGGCCCCGTTAAGACCCGGCCCTTGTTTAAGAGGTGGTCTCAGACTTGGGAGGGCTGGTCAGTGGATGTCTCAGACCTCGGGTCAGATGGCATCCAAACAGAGGGCATGCTTGAGGACAGCTGTATCCCTGGCGGGCGGTTGTCAAGGCCGGTGTGCGCCAAGGTGTTTGGTGCTGCTCACGAGGGGGTTGCAGTTGGGGACTTGGGCTTGAGTCCTTGCTGGGCCCCATCTAGGGAGCTGGTTCGCTGGGCAGGCCACATGCTGCTTGCTTTCTCTGCCGTCCATCAGCTGTGCGCTTTCTTGTTTCCAGTTGAAATCTGGAGAAACCATTTGGAAGCATACACTCAATGTGCCCTGGAACTGGAGGAATCGCTGGAGGCTTCGACCTCTCAGATGATGAACTTGAATTTATAAAAGTTCTTTCTGTGTGTTTCTGTATTTGGGGTAAGGGGGCGGGAGCTAAAAGACTTTGGGGTCTTTTTCTTCTTCTCAGTTCTTCGTTGACCTAGTGTGTGTTTTGTATGACTGTTTAATTGGGAAATTAACCAGCGGTGTTCGTAGGCATCCAAAAGCTGCAAGTCCCATGGATGGGCACTTGGTATGCTGGTGGAAACCTTTTCACAAAGACTCGGGATGCAGCCTTGGCCCTCTGAGTGCAATGTGAGTCTGGAAAATGCTGGAAAAGGTGGTACTTGGAGTACTCTGCTGCTAAGGGAACGTCTCTCCATTGCAGAGTAGCTGAGCCAAGTTAGTTTGTGGAAAGCAGCGGGGGGCCGAGGTGATGTGGCTGGGAGGCAGCGGGGTGCCAGCCTGATGTTCCCGGTCCCAGTGACCCAGCACAGCCCTGCAGAAGCCGCTGGACGGGTGCTGTGGGAGCCAGTGTTAGTGCAGGAGCAGTGGGGTGGGGAGGGGTGCCTTTCTCAGGTTGTGGCTTTTCGGCCAGAAGATTTGGGGGTACTTGGAGGGTTTGCTAAAATGAGCCTCAGGAGGAAAATTGGTTCTCTAACCTGTGACCTTTTGACATGAATTATTCCTTTTCTTTATTTCGCAAAGCAACAAATGTATATTGAAGTTCCTAAATTTCAGTTTTCTGCAAATCTGCAAATATTTTCTTTCTTTTGTAAGTGAACATATTTTGAATGTGGTTTCTATCTTAGAGGCCGGAAGGATAGAAGTTTACTTTCATATTTTCCTGTAAGTAAGAGGGCTTATTTATTTTGAATAAAGAGTGATTATTTAATTTCACTGGAGACTCCAGTCATCTTGGTCTAATCAGTGGTCCTGCGTCCTGATACGTGTCTTTTGGGCACTCTTCTTTGAACTGAAGGGGACTGAGCAGGGAGAGGTTTGCTTCGCTCAGGCCTCTTGGGTCTCGAAGTAGCAACTAACCCTTAGAGACTGTTGTTGGACCCGCCTCGGTCCAGCCTGCTGGCGTGCTGGTCACGGGAAATGGCAGGAACGAGTTTCACTGCTTTGCACTTGTCAAGCAAGCAAGGTATCGTGTGGGCTTGAAAATATGTTAGTTGAATTCAGTCATGCCGAATGTACCTCTGAGAGTGAGTGGCCTGTGACAAGCAAATAAAAGTGGAATAAGGAGTCGTAAACGGCCCGCTGCGTGGCCAGGGCTGGCGGCGAGGTGGAGGTTGTCTGTGGGAAGCACCAGTCTGTCTTCTCATCTGTTGTTCCCGGTGTGTGCCCTGCTTTTCCATACACTTTCTGAGCTGTTTAAATGAGGGACATGCAATCTGGTCCACCAAGCCCTCCATCCTGTCACAGGTTTCTCCCTCAGGGCCACCAGGAGGAATAGCAGGGAGGACCCCACCCCGTGTCAACTATAGTAGGTTTGAAAAGATTGAGAGTAAAGGTTCCAAATGAACTTATAGGGAGAAAGTTAAATAGCTTGTCAGCTGCATTCAGCAGTCTAGAATTATAAAACTGACAAATCAAAAAATCATTAAGAAATCTTTGCTAGAGATGCACGTTGTTTGTCCAGAGCCCCCAAGGCCTCTGGGTCTGTGGTATTTGTTCAGATTAGCTGAACAAAGTACGTTGGGGTTTTAACATCACATTCATTCAGCTCCTGAGAGGGTTCACTTGTGTGACTTAATGCTGAGTTGCCCTGGTCATGGTGTCACTTTCCTGACAGAGGCCACTGCTGCAGGTGACACAGTGACCTACTCTGAACTGATGGTGCCACAGAAAGCAGGCAGGCTCCCCAAGTACAAACACTTCACTGAGCAAACGTAGAAAGAACTCTGTATTTTCTTCCAACAGTTCAGAGAAAACTCATCCTCATAACCCCATTTCCCACCAGGACCCTGCGTGTTGATGTTGTGATAACTGCAAGTGTCTGTTTTGTGTTGTTGGGCGTGAAAGTGCTCTGACTGTATCCAAACTTGAGGAAGAATCATAGCACCAAGGAAAGGGCCCCAGTCTTGGAGCTGTCCACTCTGCAGCTGTGGTGGCTGGAGCCTACCCGCACGAGAACCACAGCAAGGGCCGATGGGTGTTTCACCAAAAACCCTGTCAGTGCGTGGCGGTCCGTGAGCCAGCTCGGCGTCTGCTGGCAAGGTGGGCCAGCAGCTGGGTGGGCAAACGGGACAACTTTAACCCCAAAGCCAGCCGTCCTCAGAAGCCTTGTTCAGAACGGATCCTCTAGGTGACTGACTGGCTGGAAATGTGTGCTGCTCTTGTACAAAGGTACCCAGCTTCAGGACAAGGGGGTCTGGAAACAGCTGTGGTCATGAGGCTGAGGAGACATCCATTTGCTAGGGTCACAAGAGAAGTACAACTTAACAGAGGTTTTGGTTTTATGATAGACTGGCATTCCATTAAAAAACGTCATTCCACAAACAAAAAGTATCTGTAAGGTTACAGGCTGAGCAGCCTCGGCCTTCACATTCACACACACACACACACACACACACACACACACACACACACACACACACACACACACACACACACACACACACACACACACACACACAGCAGAGTCTTCAGGTACAGCGTGAACAACTAGGGACCCAGAAGCACGTGTACAGGGTAGCCTCATCAGGCCTGCACCGCTGTGAAAAGAGTGACTGTGACCCGGGAGAGGCGCACAGCTGACCTGCTGGCTTTTCTGCCTCATACAAGCTCGGTGCCCAGGCCGCGGCCGCTAGTGCACAGGTAGGTGTACACTGGGAGCTTTAGAAAACAGGCTGAAGCTCTGACATTAGTGAGGAATAACAGAGTCTCTTCAATCCATGTTTGTTAGCTCCCTAGTTGGGACCTCAGCGCTCAAGGTTTAAGGCAAATTCTTGTCATTTGAAGCCTTGCCCTTCCCTGTCCCTTAGAGTTGAGTGGCTAAGTATGAAGATGGCTCCACAGCAGTAAAACCAGCAGTTAAGAGGGGACTGAGCTAAACACTGGGCTGTTTAGGGGGCAGGGGGTGGCCCCTTTGCACGACATGAAATCAGTCAGATGGTGAGAAGTGACCTGTGGAGCATAACAACAGTGCTTCTGGGGGAGGAACTGTCATGCACACTGCCGTCTTAACCAGGGTTTCTGTCTGTAGCCTGTGACACCTTTTCGGTTTCCTGTTTCTGCCAGACAGGCCATTCTGTCCCATCTAAGCACCTAATTAAAAGAGGTTTCGGCTACTGTCGCAGGTTCACTCAGGGCTCCGTGTTCTCCACTGAGCAGCCCTGATGGCCTTGTCCAGCAGCGGGGAGGCAGCTCACTGCCCTGGGGCATCCAGGGCTGCATGGCAGGTGACGGCAAGGTCGGCTTGGGGTTGGAGTCAGCACTGCCTCCTGGTGGCTAGGTGTCCTGGTTACAGCGTTCCTGAAAGAACAACGTGGACTTCGAGTTCCTGGCAGAACAGGAGGGCCTCGAGTCCCCTTCCCGTGTGCTCCCCGTGGGGTCTAGGGTCCCGCGGGAGGGAAGCCTGGTGTGCTAAGCTGTGTCTGGGGGTCACGGTGGCCATGGGGGCTTCTCGCCAGAACCAACTGGCCCTGCCTGATTTCGGTTTCCTGTAAGGGCGTCACCCTGTGCTGACTCCCTTCCGGGGATCGGCTCCAGGCTGGACGGCTGCGGGTGGCAGGGGTGCAGGTTTCAGAAAGCAGAACTGCTCAGTGGGCCAGCAGGAAGCACATGGGGCCCACTGGCAGCACGGGCCCCCAAGACCCCTGCCCTCCCTCGGGCCCGGCCACGTACCCACTCCTTCCTCCAGCTGTGCATCATGCGGTCGTGTTCCCCGACCACGGCCCTCCAGGTGGCGAGCTCTCTGGTCCACCTCTCCTGCTGGGTCGCCTCTGCAAGACAGAGGCGGGGCTCCAGGTCTCAGCTTGCCGGCCTTCACGGTCCCCCGGGGGCCCTCCAAGCACCGAGGCTGTGCTGTGAGCTAGGTGATGCCCCTGTGCAGGGCCGAGCAGGGCCGAGGCAGCCAAGTGGGCAGGGGTGAGGCGTTTACCCCTCAGGCCTCACCTTCCTGGCTGCAGGGGCTTCCACAGTCAGTGTTCCCTGCCTGCCCTTCCCCGGGCCACCAACTCCCACGGCAGCTGCTCCCCAAGGTCACAGTGGCCCCAGCCCCACATCTCACTGGCCCTTTCTGTGCAGCCAGGAGAGGGGCTAACTCCCCACATCTCACGAGCAATGCAGATACTCTGGGGCTCGGGGCGGGCAGGGGCTGCTGCTGCCTCCCTCGAGTGAGGCGGGAGCTGAGGTTCAGAAACCTGCTCGGTAATGAGGTCTGGCATCCCCTTACATCACATGCTACTCGCCCCGCACTGCCCTCCTTTTGTGTTTGATCCTGAATTTCGAAAATGAGTTACTTGTAGGGGTTGTCAGGGTGGCATGAGTCTGAGAGCCATAGCTTTTCTTTGTAAACAAAAATGCACCCCATCATTGCTTTCAACTATAGCTCACGTGACTAATTTCAGAAATGGGTTCCAGGGACTTCCCTGATGGTCCAGTGGGAAGACTCCGGGCTCCCATTGCAGGGGGCCTGGGTTCGATCCCTAGTCGGGGAACTAGATCCCGCATGCATGCCGCAACTAAAGATGCCGTGTGCTGCAACTAAGACCTGGCACAGCCAAAATAATTTTTTTTAAAAAAGCAAGAAAGAAATGGGTTCCAATGACCTAAGTCCTTCAGACAGTAAGTCGAACTCATACCCTGAGCAGAGCTGAGCAGGCCCAGTGGTGACGGTACCCACACAACCAGCCCTCGGCTGGAGCTCTCAGGACGACAGTGGGAGGCACCCAGAGTTCTGGAGGAGGGCCCTTAGTGGCCCTTCACTACAGGGGCCCGGCAGGGGCTCCTGACGCAACACGAGTGAATCCGAATCCCCCAAGAAACATTTCATCTTCTAACATCCTCACCCACCACCACCCGTACCTTCAGTAAACATGGTGGGGTCTGTGGGGAGA